TCTCAGAAAAATTACAGTGAAACAAAACTTGGGAAGGATCCACCAGAAGAAAAGAAATGACATTTTATCAGGCACTACAACAATGAATATTTAAAATATGGTTTTATTCTTTCGCCCACATCTATGGAAGAAGATGTATGTCCGATGTGTATCATTTGCCATGAAGTATTAGTAAATAATGCTATGAAACCATTGAAAATGTTACGACATTTGAAGTCTAAAAATTCCGAGCTAGAAAATAAATCGTATGAATATTTTGAGTGTAAAAAACAAGAATTAGTATTATAGATAAAATTATATAAACAAAACTTTGTTCAGAATAAGTAATTAATTAATAAAATGCTCATATCTAGTTGCACTTCGATTTGCTAAAGCCAAAAAATCATTTACCACTGGGGAAAATATAATAAAACCAGTTTTAATAGAAGTTTGTTCAGAGATGTTTGGATCCTCGGCTGTTGATAAAATTAAATCTATTCCCATATCTAACGATAGTATAAGAAGAATTGAAAAATCTTCAGAAAATATAGAACATCAGTTACCACACAAAATAAAGGAATAAAAACTTTTGCAATACAAATTGATAAATCATGCGATATTTCTCAAAAAGCCATATTAATTTGCTACGTCAGATATATTGATTTAATTTTGGAAGAAATGAAAGAAGAATTCTTCTGTTGTGTGGAATTGAATTCATACACAAGTGATGAGATTTTTAACGCACTTAATTCTGATTTTATTAAACACTCTTTAGAATGAAAAAACTGCGTAGGTGTATGTTTGTACCGATGGGGCAGTTTGTATGGCTGGCATACATTGTGGTGTTTCTAAAAGAATTCAGCAAATAGCTAATTTTGATTTACTGATTACCCCTGTATAATTCACAGACATTTAGCAGCGAAAAGTTTATCCACAGATTTAAATGAGGTTTTAGCTGAATCTATAAAAATTATTAATTTTATATAAAAAATAGCAGTTTAAACAATAGATTATTTGCAATATTTTGTAGGGAAGTTGGTGCGGAATATGAACAATTATTGCTGCATACAAAAGTTAGATGGCTCTCCCGAAGTAAGATTTCAACGAGGCTTTCTGAATTAAGGACAGAAGTAAAAACATTTTTAGTAGGAAAAAAGGTCCTTTAAGAATTCACTTGTCTAATGTAGAATGGGTTGCAAAACTAGCATATTTAAGTGTTATATTTTCATTCATTTTTGATCTAAACATCAAAAACGTTTTTACTTCTGTCCTTAATTCAGAAAGCCTCGTTGAAATCTTACTTCGGGAGAGCCATCTAACTTTTGTATGCAGCAATAATTGTTCATATTCCGCACCAACTTCCCTACAAAATATTGCAAATAATCTATTGTTTAAACTGCTATTTTTTATATAAAATTAATAATTTTTATAGATTCAGCTAAACCTCATTTAATTAAGTTTAGTTAAGTTTACAAGAAACTGCGATGAATGCGTTCAATTTATTTAATAAAATAGATGGATTTTTTAAAAAATTAATGTTTTGTTGGATAAGGTAAAACATCATAATATTGATATATTTAATAATTATTCTGAGTTTGTTACTTCGCAGCAAAATATAAATTTATCAAAATTAAATACTGTATAATCATTGAACAACTCTTACAATCTTTAAATAATAGTTTCGAAAAATATTTTCCATCTGAAAAAATCCACACGTGAAAGGAATTTGTCGATAACAAACCTTTTCATAATATATCACAGTAGTAAATTAGATTTAATTAACAGAAAATATGAATCCATCTTTCAGATTAATTCAGATATGTTAAAAACTAGATTTTCAACAATGTTTATAGAAAAATTTTGGATCAAAACGAAAAATGAATATCCATCTCTATACGAGAAAGCAATGAAAATGTTAGTCCTCTTCGCAACAACATATTTATGTGAAGTGGGATTTTCAACTATGATAGTAATAAAAAATAAATTTAGAAATCGACTTTCAATTATTTCACTGCTTCGACTCAGCTTGACTAATTTAGAATCAACAATTAAAAAGTTAATTGAAGAAGAGCAACAGCAATCTCCTCATTAGCAATGTATACCAAATAAACAAAAATTTTAAATTTATAATTTTTAGTAATCATAGGATTGATGTTTTTGTTGTGTACCTATATGCGATAAATTTGTGATTTTTTTAAATATTTTTTACGATTTTTGTTGTAATTTTTGTCAAGGGTTTGTTATTTATTAATAATTATAATTAAAAACAACAATAAAAATTAAACTTTTAGTAACTTGTATTAATTTAACTTTTTAGTAATCATAAGACTGATTTTTTTATTGTCCTGTGCAATATTTTTGTGATTTTATTATGCTTTTCTGTGATTTTTGTCAAAGATTTATTTATATAAAATAACTATACAGTAATAATTACTTATATTTACATTTAAATATTATTGTAAGTAAATGATAAAAATAATTTTACAATTTACGTCTGTAGTAATACTTTAATATCTAGTATAAGTTCTTGTTAAAAAATCTCCGGTCCGCGGCCCAAAAATAGGTTGAGAAACGCTGCTCAAGACGAAATTCGCGGTTAATTCTTATTGAAGCACTTAAGTTTCTTTCGTATGTTATTTTTAGGTCTCCCTTCGAATATAGTTTTGTTTTCATTAAGTACACGCCAACTGACAGTTTTTCGAAATAGCTTAAATCCATGGTGCGCAAACTAGGGGTCGCGACCCCTGTGAGGGTCGCCAGAAGTGTTTTGGGGGTCGCCAAATTTTTATGAGATGCATTATGCCTGCATGCTGCATACCATACAGTGTACATATAAAGAGTGAAGCGCTGTCACTCACTGTTTAATTGCAATTTCATGCTGTTCGCTCTTTCTTTCACGGTAATGCGTAATGTATGTAAAGTGTGAAGACGCAAGTTTTTTACTCAGGTAGATGGCGCCCTCTTCGCGGTAATTCGCCAGTTTTACTAAAAAGCGCCTATTTGTCCCACGTATTGATGTTATACGTACTGTGTCGAACGGTGCGCACTGAGCATGCGCGCCGTACGAGATGGAGTGGTAATCAAGGGCTGTGGTAGTCATCTTGTAGACATGCATACCAAGCCAAGGCCAACCAAGCCATAAAAGAAGAGATAAGATAAGTGAAGCATTAAGCATACCAAGCCAAACAAAGGAACAAAGCCACAATCCTCAAAGGCCAACCAAACGACCAAAAATTATCGCTGAATGTTTTACTGTGCGTTTCCATGTAAAGTTGCAGCATGTAGCAGTTGGTCTGCAATTGTTTTAGTTTCTCCTCGAGTTTTTTTATGTGACGTTGTGTAATTATGATTTTGTATATTTTTATCGGGCTTTACTACTTTTTGTTATGAGGTATGTACTATCATTAGAGAAAGATCTCTGTTAATTTTATTGAATTTCTCGAAAAAAATGTTAAANAAACTATTGAAACTAATAACAGAGGTAATTATATTGAACTTGTTTATTTATTAAGTACGTCAGATAAATAATCTATTAAAAATACATTTAAAAAAAGAATTAACTGATTGCCCCTGGAAGTTAGCTTCTTATAGAAACACAGCTTCCCTATCATCAAATGTCACGGCATGCCCCTGAGAAGAACCCAAAGAAGGCTAACTCAAAATTTAAAATTTGAATAAGTATAAATACCTTTTATTAACACATGCAGGATGATTGTATTGTGGCCATTCTGCTAAACCATATTGCAATCATAAATGTTTTTAAAAACAAATTTTGAAGTTTAAACAAATAAATTAACTTTTTTTGTGTAGATGGAGAGAACATAAGCTCTGTAGCCCTGGGGATCTGCTCCTGAAATCTATCCATGGGAATAATTTACAAATAATCCTTACTTTTAAAGTAATACAACTTTTAGTTAATATTGTTTTAAATTATAATATCTTGTTTAAGTATGCATAAAATTTTTAAACTAATAATTTTGAATATATTTTTTTATTTTATTGGATTACTTATATATATATGTGTGTGTGTGTGTACCTGTCAAGTTTGTAAACAATATAAAGTTAGCTGATGAGGGGCAGAACGAGCCCAAAACATGTAATATAATATGCGTATCAGCTAAATAAAGATGAAAAAATGCCAAGTGTTTAAATTTGTCACACTTAATAGTGTTTGAGCAACAACAAAAAATTTTGAATATTGTCAAATTTGTTCTTGAACTAATAATAACAAAAATTTATGAATTCTTTAAAGCTATTAAATTATCTAAAATTAATATATTTATACAGAAGTAATGATCTGAAAAATATGGGAATTAAACAATTTAACTATCCAGAACAATTGAAAAATATGAATAAAAATTGAATTAATGATTGACTTGTAGATATAATTTAGATTTATAATGATGTAGAAATGCTCACACTTTTATTTGATGCATATAAGTTTTTCTTAAAGTAACTTTTAAATCAATTTTTTACTCCTAAAAAATATCTGTCATATGATTGATAGAAATAATTTATCTACATAACCTTCAGTTCTAGCTGACCAGTAAATAATCTACCATAAGTTTAGGAGTTGACTTATATGATGAGTATAAACCTAAACCAGAATTCTGAACCAAAGATTTTGTGATCAACTTATATGTTATATTAACTTATATGCATTTAAAATTATAAAAATAATTGTATAGAAATTGATTTCTTAAAACTTTTTCTGTCCTATCGGAAGTAAAAAGGCCTTTTTAGCAAGCCCATTATGTTTTCAGCCAGGCCCACAATTGGACTGCCAGGTAATGAGGGTTGGAGACAGATATATCCACTCTCTGAAAAATTCTTGGGGTTTTTTGACTCAGAGTTCCCTAGAGCAGTAGGCTGCCATCTTAGATAATCAGCCATCCAGATGTCTATACAAGTCGATACAATGTGCCTCTGAATTTTCTTACAGCAAACACAAAGATCAATGTATATAATAATTACAATTGTTTTATACTTTTATTTTTCATATTTAAAAAAATAAAACCTACCAACTTTTGATAATGATAATGGCAATATCCACAATATTTGACATTATCAAGATAATTTCCTGCTTCTTCGCAAAGGAGTCCGGCAGCTTGAGCACTAATTAAATATAGGATAAAAGAAATTTTAAATCATGTTAACATTGCATATTTGTAACAAATTTTAATCATAAACATATGCAACAATAGTTAATTCAATAACTAAGTTCTACAGAAATGTAACTCATGGATTCTCTTTTAGATTTATTTGCATAGGAGTATGGTTGCTTTGAAAACACTAACAGCAGAACTGTATGATATGTTTCTTCTAATTGGATAAGACTTAACAAACTCAAATCAAAAATAAATTTAATGGGTATAGAACCATATACACCTAACTATAAATCCATGATTTTCAGAAAAAGATATTTGAAAATTTGACCAACTTTTAATTGTCCACCAAAAGTTTGCTATTTTATATAATATAATTTTTCCAGGAAAAGTATATTACATTATTAGTGTTTTTTCCTGAAAAAGATTCTAAAAATTGCATTATTTTCTCTCTGGAACATGAGATAGTCATTTTCATTCCTAAACGAGTGAAAGTAACTATAGTATTTCACATTCCAGAATTGTGATGCACCTGGATTTTGTGGGTTGCATCATAAAATTTGTTTCAAAAAATCATGCACAGTAACTTTAGTCACAAGTTTTTGAAAAAGTGCATGGATTAAATTGTTAAATATGGTAATAAAGAAATATAAACAAAATAATGGCTATTTCAGTGATGAATTCTGGTCAAGAGAGAGATATGATCGGTTATGAAACAAACCTGTCATTTCAGATACCCAGTTATGATATTTAAATTCCATTATATGTCTTTTAGGTAGACAATAAGCATAAGCATTTCATATTTTTTGTCTATACAATGAAATGCGTATGCTTAAGCTATTTGGAATTTTACATATCTGCTTATAGTGCCAAATAGAACAATGATGAATATAATAGATTATTAATGAAAAACTGCAAAATTTAGATTTAACCACATATGAATGTATACCCATGATTTTATTAATATTTTAAAATTATTTTATAACTTATTGGTATCTCATATACCAAGAATAGCAAATCTATGACACACATGCCAAAATGCCTGACATGCAATAAAACATACAATTTCATTTATCTTTTACTGTGTATTTTTAATTTACATCTTAATTTTAGTCTCTTATTCTGGCTTTTACATGTAGTTCAATTCATAACTTTCAAAGTCCTAGACTGCTTATGTCTTGGACAATTTGGTATCAGAAACAAGCACCACTTTTGACACATCAAGGCCTTCAAAATCTATAAATCAACATATAAAGGAACTCTCAATATCAAAATCCTTATCCTATTATCCTAAACAATATCATGTTTAGGTCCTTGCACTCAACTGCAAGGACCTAAACATGATATTGAATGCTTAATAATGCAATGAGCATTTTTATTATTATTTTTTATCTTTTTTGTGCATGTCACAGTGATGAAGTGGATTGTAAAATTTTAAACCAACTACTTGACACCTAAATGCAAATTCCAGCATATAAAGAACAAAGAATGTTTAATGTTCAAACATTTTCAGCCATCTTTCAGAGGCCCTCATTAGGAATGGATGCACAAAAAACAGTTCTATCCTTTGAGAATTTCAAAATTTTGAACTTTGCTGCGTTCCAATTTTTAAACATTTAAACAATGTTCAATATAAAAATCGTTACGCTTACATCATATAAATTAATTATTTTTTCAAATAAAGCTATAAATAAACTCATTATTATTATATTATGTGGCATTCTAAAAAGATAGTCTGATGTTTTAACTTTTAAATGCCAGTTTTTATGTTTGTAAAATTTTATTTTTATATTTAAACATGTTCAGTGTTAGATTATTTCTGTTCTATGTCCAGTAGTATTGCATATGTTGAATTTTTGGAATAGGTTACTATTAATATGTTGAATGGGATAGGTTACTAATCTTCATCAGGTTGAAGCTGATGAAGATTAGTAACCTATCCCATGTTGAAATTTTTTTGTTATGTGTGGCTGCCATGTTGAATTTTTATTGATGTTAAGCCTAACAAAAAAAAATTTTTTTTAAATAATAATCATGACTACTGTATTATTAAAAATTAGTTTATTTTGCACAAACAAAATAAATATATTGAAAAATATAAAAACAAAAAAATTATATTTCAAAAGTTTGTTTTAATATAAAAATTATGACACAGCAACATCTAGTATCAAAAACATTCTGATGCAGAAATGAGTATATTCAGGGTCGACAGGCCATGTCAAATATTCAAGAAGAACATGGGACAGGTTAAAAATGTTTGAAAATCTTAATTTTTTCCAGTTGAATAAACCTTTTTGCTGTCATTTAAATTTGAGTGTATTTGAGTTACATTTAGTTCAGTTTATAATCATCCCTTTTTTTTTACATTTATTCTAATTAAATCATATTCACTCAATTTGTTTAAAACCAGTTATTTAAACTCTAAAGCAAAGCTGCCCAAACCCAGGCCTGCCAAAGCATTTGAATTTGCCCACACAAAGTAGTGGTCGGCTGTTACCATGCACGATGTTGTGCTATCAATAATGCCAACCGTCACGTGATTGGTTGATTGGTCAAACACAGAATGAACTATGACTTGAGTCACTGCCACACCGCTGTTAATACCTAACCTACGCGTTTATTACACTTGTTCTATTAGTTTTGAGTCGACTTTTGTGTATTAAAATTAAATTGTTGTCACCAAATATTGTAAAATTATTAGCTAATAAGCCTCTTCATAGGTCTCATTGATGTATTTTTTATTAGGTATTATTAAAACATGTGCAACTTAAAGCTTTGTTTGATTCAAATACCTATCCATTTATAGAAGAATCATGAGTGTAATCAAGTATGATTCACTAGGTGGCCTGCCGGCTGACATGTAATTGAAATTACAGCCCATCTCCAAAATGAATTGGGCAGCCCTGCTCTAAAGCATTAACACAAACAAACTTTTTAAAAGTTCAATATAGCTATTTAGGCTTGAAAATTCCAAAAATTTACCATCCCTGTTATATACTAAAAACAAATCTATCCACAACAATTAGGTAATGATGTAAAATTGGCAAGTTTGAGAACTGCATCTTTGGTACTTATTACTATTATTATAATTAAGAAAAAATAACTTTGAAGAAAGATATTATGGCAAAATAAATTTTTGGTATATCAAACAATTATTTATATTGTACAAGGGTTGTCCAGAAAGTAATACCTGTTTGCTCACAGATGGTGTTGAGAGTAACAGATGTCAGGCAGGCAAAGTTAACATATCCTGTCACTTACACACTTTGCTTGAAATAACTTACATTTTGATCAAGTGCATTATACAGTTCTTGTGCATCATTAAAAGGGCAACAAAAATTAGTAATTCCACAGGATATGAAGTGCACGCTTGTCATTCAGTTTCTGAATGCCAAAAAACATTTGTCCAAAGGACATTCATTGTTGAATTACAGGAGTGCATTATGACAATGTGATAGGCTGCATAAGGCCAGTCAAAACAAGTGGAATGGCATGTTGTGGTGATGTGCATCCTTAGGAGACCATATACCTGCTTCAATACTTCAAATGGGATGTTCTGCACCATCCTGCCTAATTTGGACTTGTCTCCCAGTGATTATCACCTGTTTAGGAAATTGAAAAAGTTTCCAAAAGGAAAGTGATTCGCCAATGCCAACAAATTGAAAGATGAAGTCACACAGTGTTTAAAGGACTTGACATCAAAAGTCTACAATGACAACATTCAAAAATTGGCCACAAGACATGACAAGTGCTTAAACAATGGCAGTGTTTATGTCGAAAAAATGACTAAATCAGTATGTAATATTAAGGCAAATAAAAACTTTGAATAATAAATAATAATAATAAATTTGTTTTGTGATTATGGATAAATAGATACTACTTTCTGAACAACCTTTATATAATAAAAGAATAAAATATGTCTTGATGTTACATAATTTTTGTGGCCTGTAGATGTCATAAATACATACCATGTGACATGAAAATACTGTTTACAACCTGATTTATTGCATTGCATGCAGGCACCAATTGTAGCTTTACTCTCCATTCCTTGCTCTTCACAAATGTAGCAGCTCTGAAACAAACAATTTTAATAGTTAGATTATTATAATTATTAAAATTATTATTCTGCATTTCTAGAAATACAAAAATTTAAATTTTTACACAAAGAATTCACACATCTGTTACCATTATATAACATAGCAATGATTTTTATAAAAATTGCAAATGCAATAGTAAATAAAATTGTCATTAAGTATGATCCCTCTACCCCTTGACCTTTAATCACTAAAATTTAATAGCATCAATGTCTCTTATACAAAAGGCACCATACCAAGCTTCATTTCTTAATCTTTACACCATCACATCCATGGAGTTTTTTCCTCCTTGTTTGGGTTCAGGGATTTGCAAAAAATCTAGTATCAAATTTGATATAATTCCAATACTTTCCCTTATTATGTATACATAACAGTNAAATTACACATTTTTGAAAAAAATAATCATGGCTATTGTTATACATCAACCGAAGCCGAATATTATCGAGCTAAAATCATTCTACATTGCATGTCGTGCCATGTTGAATTTTTGTTGATGTTAAGCCTAACGAAAATTACACATTTTTGAAAAAAATAATTGTGGCTATTGTATTGTCCAAAATTATTTTTTTATTTTTATGGAAGAAATCTGTTTGGCATTGAATTAATTTGGACATTTTTCTCAAAAGTCTATTATTTCAATAATTCCAAAGTCCATTAAATACACATGTGTATTCAGTATAGAATGCGTACATAGGTGCATTCTATCTTGCCACTAATAGAGATTGTTTTAATCAGATTACATTTTTGAAATCTCAAACTCAAGATGGTAAATTCTTCATAGAAGTAGGCACTGGTCTTCTAGACGAAATTTGTGGATAATTTTTATTGAAGCACATAAGCTAATTGCATATGTAATTTTCAGGTCTTCCTTTGCATGCAGTTTTGTTTTCAATAAGTACATGCCAACTGACGATTTTTTCAAAATAGTTTAAATTACTAATAGCTCATAATATTTATGCATTTGTAACCAAATTGGATAAATTATATAAGATAAAGTCATAATTTTATTCAGGAATTACAAAAAACATTCAATTTGAAAAAAGTTCAGATAATTCAGTCATGATTTTTGGTCCCTTCAGTTTTGAAATAAAAAGGTTTTACTGTTATCCAGAGTGTGACAAAAACATTGCATGAGGCCATCTTGATGCAATGTTTTTGTCTATGCCTGGTATATGCTGTTCAACAGTATACAGTATCCATATTTATTTCATTATAATGCAGTCAAACCTCAATTTAGCACTACCATTTGTTCAGTTTTGAAGCTGGCACTAAATCAAACATAACATTAAATTGAAATAACTCAAACAATAAGAATTATATACAGTAACCAGCTTGAGAATTGAAAGTCACATGATTTGATAACAACAATGTTGTTTTCAATGCAAAATTGTAGACATAATAATTCAGAGATACCAAACGGTTTAATATTTATTAAAAAAATTCATTCATGAATATTTAACTATATTAATGGATTACAAGGATGGCATTACTTAAGAAGAGGCTATATTGAGATATGGTTGTATATATTAATATATATTTATTCTTTATATATTTATTACATTCTTTGTCAAAAATAAACTTGTTAATTAGTTAATTAAAAATCTACTAATGTGAGGTAGATAATAGGGACAAACACCCAGATATCAATGGAGTACATTTAATAAAAACGAGAAGGGGTGTACATTAAAATCGATTAATTACAATTAACATGAAATAACATTGTTAATTAATTTAATTATACCAAGGGCAAAAAGCAATTTCTTTATATTGTTAATTGGTGTTTTTCTTAAACAGTATAAATGTCTAATAATTTTTTACTGATCTTAAAGACTTTATAGGTTACACAGACTGAAAGTAAGCTGTTTGGATTTTATGAAATTAAAAACCTTTTCTTAGTGAAACAATATTAAAAATTTCTAATGTTTATATTATATAACAATTATATTTTTATTAATATTACTATGCATCTAGAATTATAACAAACGAAATTGCATTACTGAATCTGTACCTTGCATTATTTTTCTTATGTTTCTTTCTTTCTCCTTTCTCTATTGAACCATTGTGAGAACGTTTATTTGACTGTTGATTTTCATGATTATTTCTGTTTCCAGATCCTAACTCAGTTGTTATGAAATTTTCATACATACTACTGAAAGTCGGTGTCGGACTGGACGTGGTGGTGGTTGTCGAAGGAGTCGACGAAGATGAAGATACTTGAGTGGCTGGAGACTGTGATGCTTTTCCTTGATTATCAACATTTGAAGAAATGGACTTCTTCTTCTTGTGCTTATCAGATCCAAACACAGGACTACCATTATGAGTAATAACAGTTTCTGTAAAATTTGCTGTAGTAAATTTACTACCAATGCTACTAGTGCTACTAACAGCAGCTGTAGTGTCTGATTTAATTGTGGTATCATTACTTAATTGACCATTTACTTCTAGATTACAGCTACTGGCATTGCTATTATCACTTTGTGATATAGATATCACTTCACCTATAGCAGAAGATCCCTCTGCATTCTCATTGTTACATGAAACTTCGGAAGGGGGAGGAGGAGGAGGTGGCGGCGGAGCAGCAGCAGCAGACGGCATGACAGTTGGTGACATCATGTGAGATTTTGATTTTCTTTCGCCTCTTCCACGACCTTTGTCTTTTGCTTCGGGACGTGGCGGAGAGTGTTTTTCAGGACTCGGTTCTGGTGTGGCATTATCAGCAGGAATGGGCTTGAAAGCGGGAATTGTTTTAATGTTGCTGTCTTTTTTCTACAACAAAATATCATCTTAATGTAATGACAGATTTTAATTTATAAATAATAGAAAATACAATAATATACTAACAACAATCAAGAAAATATAATATAAATTTATAATATTTCTGGTCATAAAATATTGCATAAAAATCTAGAAAAATAATTTTATAATGAACAAATCAAACATCTGCTTTAATGGAACTTCTATTAAAATAAAAATGCACCTTTTCAGGTTTATGAATTCATCTTCAGTGTAGGAGAAATATTAAATAGTGAATAGGTGCAAGAATTAAAAAGAACATTAGAGGAATTATCCTACAAAATAAAACTGAAAAAACTGAGAAGGAGTTCAGATATGAAAGCTAGATATGTGAGAATAACCTTCATAGTAAGATTAACTATAGATTCTACCAGTGATAGATCCAGAAGAACCAATGGCATGCCGTCATTAGAAGCGGTGGAAGCACCGCTTTCCTTGTATTTTATAAAAAAATAAATACATATTAATTTTAATTATATGAAAATAATCGCACAATATTTTATTATAACCGCATTATGTATCTTATTACAAATTCCTATACTACACGTGAAAAAAAAAAAAGATCGCTATTGTATATTCAAATATTAGTGGCAGAGTGGAATCTCTGTATTTTCAGATTCCAAAAAGCCAGATTCGTGCACGCGCTTTACAGAGCACCAACCTCACCCGGTTTAACCATTGGAAGCCTACAACCTTCAGTTGATGCTACACATTCCAACACTTCCAATTCTATCCGGGACTGGCTCCGGGCTGTTAGCCACCCACCCACTAGATGTCTGGCTGATTACGTGAATAACGAGTAGATTTATAACTTAACCCAACTGATAAGAATTTACTGGTATGTTTTTACGATAGTTCTGTATAGTTGATGAGAGTTAAAAAATCCATTAAAATATTTGATATATTTATTCCGCTCTCCAATTTTATATTACTCATGGATTTCAGTGTCAAACCAGTGATATTATGATTTCGTATGTCCCATCTTTAAGGGGATGTAGAAAAAAATGTGTACAATTCTCGTATTATGTTAAAAAATTAACCGTTACTTTGGTAGCATCATTTACAACTAAATTTAATGAATGAGAGAGATGCACAAAGTACAGAAAAAGCTATAGAATTTATTTTCCTTAAATTTACGATTTATGTATCCATTTGTCATAAAAATTTGTCTTTTCACTTTTTCCCGAGACTACAAATATTCGAGTACAAAGTAACTAGTTTCGACTTATTTCTACTTAAGAAGTAGTTAAATAATTAAGCGATTAGGGAATTGAGAACACAAAACCCTGACGAAAGAGCCAAAATTTTACTTAAACAAAAGCCTTACCGAACCATCTCTAGCCGAGTACAGCGAGAACCGATTTGTTCGAAATATTAGATGTAATAAAGACAGACATTTTTCCAGTTCGATGAGAGTGACCGAAAAGTTGTAAATTTTGGAAATTTTCGTGGACAACACCCGGTCTTAAAACGAATTAGAAAACAAACAACTGACAATCTATTAAGTTTAACATATTTAGACTTTTACAGCTATGGTGAGAAACGTTTAAAATTTACAAGAACCCTGTCGCATCTTTTGACATTTGACCGGTTTCGACACCCTCGGGATTTGGCAGCCCGTGTGCATGTACACACCTCACACCTATCAGGACAGTGTCTGATTCCACTTGTAGGGAGCTATTTGACTAAGTGGTTAAGATTTAAAAAGTAAAGAATATTTTATGTTATTTTTATGTACGTTTCATTACAAAGCCATATTTAATTTTCTTTAAAAGTATATTCATACAATTGAAGAATGTTTTGTACCAGGTATGTATATCCACCACTCATTTTATTTCACCAAGTAAGTTGTTGTTATTTTGTTTTTAATTATAGTCCTTATATCATGGTTAGTGATTCAGAATGTAATTGTGATATTGAAAATTTATTTTAAAAAAGTTTTGGCTCAAGACCATAATGAAAGAAGAAAACATTATTAAAAGAGAGAGACCAATGCCTAAATTAAATATAAATACGTCAACAAAAAAATTTGTTCGACATTTTCACGATAAAATTTATGAAGACATAAAATGGCTTTGTGGATGCATAAAAATGCAAAAATTGCTTTGTTGGCCTTGCCTACTATTTTAAAATAAAATTAGTGTGTGGAATAAGAATGGCTTTGATGATTTAAATAAATTGAATAAAGCTGGCAAAAGACATGAAAATCATAAATGTCGCTTCATTTCTTTTGTAAAATTGAAGCAATTTGGAAATCAAAGCAGAATAGAAATTAACATTTGTAAATAATATAAAATAAATATTGAAAATTATAATGAGATAGTTACGGCTAATAGATATATTTAAATTAATAGATGTTATATGTTTTTATCAAAGCCAGAATTGGCATTTAGAGGGCATAGGGAATCTATCGAATCTAATAACAGAGGTAATTATATTGAACTTGTTTATTTATTAAGTACGTCAGATAAATAATCTATTAAAAATACATTTAAAGAAAGAATTAACTGATTGCCCCT